TTGGATAAAAGCATCTGCTAAATGACTAAATGTAAATGTAATATTGTTTTCAAAAAACGTGCACTTTGAAACCCTTTTTTTCCCAGGCCTCTAAAATGTCATTGTAAACACCCCCTCAGCTGACCTATGCTGCATCCCAATGTGCCTACTTATACTACAACCTTAAAGTATAGGCCTACTCTTTTGGTGAAGAAAAAGTACACCCTTTTGAGTATGTAGTAGAAGTGTAGGCAAGCTTTGGGACATACTATTACATAATACAATTGCATATTTAACATATGCTCTGTCGCACCTATTACACGCACCAAGTCACTGTAAACTGGCCTGTCAATCATCTTGTCACAGTTAACATCCTCCACATTTCATTTAATTTAACTTTCTACTGTATTGGAAAGAAAAGAAGCAGCACGCTGATCTGCCAGCCATGAGTCTTTCATTTGGAGAACTCTCCTCATATTTTCTGCATAATGATTCATTTAAAAGGCCGAACGGTTGTTTATAAAAGTTCATATTGTTGTTGCAGATGAAGTATAACACAGATAACATTAAATAAATATTTTTTACTAGGTTAAATGTTGATTATTAGTAACTCAAACCATTCGTCGGTCACACCATGTTTGTAGTTTTTAACACTTCTTTTTCATGTTTGTAGTTCTGAACCAAATCCTTCGCCAAAGCGAAATGCGGGAAATATTAGCCATAGAGTGTGAATAGATCCACACTTCAAAAAACTCTACTTGAAATAGCAGACCATCCGGGGACTTTTGGCATACTCTTTTCAACATACTATGCTTTGGGACACACTTATTCTAATCTCACATGCTATTTAGGATGGATAGTATGAATTTTGGGATGCCGAGCTAGTTTCCTAGTGTGGGCCTCTTTGTTTCCATGGTTACCTATTGTTTCTACCTGTTCTTGTTAAAGGGATCATATGATGCAATTCAAATTTTTCCTTTCTCTTTGGAGTGTTACAAGCTCTTGGTGCATAAAGAAGATCTGTAAAGTTGCAAAGACTAAAGTCTCAAATCCAAAGAGAAATTCTTTATAAAAATTAAGAGTTAACCACGCCTACCTAAAACGGCTCGTTCTAACACACCCCCACATGTCTACATCACGATGTGGGAAGATTTGCATAATGCCGCCCAAATGTTCACACAAAGAAAGAAGGCGTAACTTTGATTCTCGCTGTAGTATTGTTGTTGCCGTGTGTTTCGTTGTGTAAGCGAAACTACTTTGTTTGTGCCGATCCGATCGGATCCGGCTGTGGATCGCCGGATCAGCTTTCACCGTGGACGAAGCGGAGTCCAGCCCGGGGACATCACATGTGGTTGCCGCAAGCCCGCCGGCCGCTCCTTCTTTGAATCCGTCGGCCGCCGCACACTCTAGCCCCCGGCCTCCGCTCACACTAGACCACAATGCCGGCTGTTCTGACTCACAAACTGCAAGTACGTTTTTCATATTTAAAGGATTTACCACTGATGATTCAAACACGAGTTTTGAGCAGTGTAGAGTAGCCTTGTTGTTTGTCATTTCTCCGATCACAAATGCAGACATGGCGCGTGTTATGTTACACGGCGCCAATCATAACGCACTGGATAGCTGGCCAATCAGAGCACACCTCGCTTTTCAGACCGATGAGCTTTGTAAAAATCGACACGTTTCAGAAAGGCGGGGCATAGAGGAGAAACAATAATGTACAGTAAGTGGAAAATTTGTTTTTTTGAACCTTAAACCGCATAAACACATTTCATTACACCAAATACACAAAATAATGTTCATTTTAGCAACGTCATATGACCCCTTTAATTTACTCATTAGGTCCTGTGTATTTACACCCGTTTAGTTCAGTTCCTGGTCAGTTATCATTGCGTGCATGTCCTCCTGGAGATGATCCTGGATATTTCTGTTTGTGGATTAAGGACTATTTAGATTGAAAATCATTTGTGTTGGATAGTTACAACAACCGCTTCAGAAGTCTTGGAACATAGTACTTTTAAAGTGCTTTTTTCAATATTTTTACAGTCTGTGTGTGTGCGTGCATGTTTAATCTTTTTCTTTTTTTTTTTTAAATCTCTATCTCCTTTATCTAGGTGAGGAGGTCAAAACCCCTCAGAAGTCTATCCCTATAGGAATTGTGGCTTCTCTTCTCATCTGTTTCGTGGCTTATTTTGGCGTTTCGGCTGCTCTCACCCTCATGATGCCCTACTACCAACTAAATGTTCAGAGTCCCTTACCTGTAGCCTTCACCTATGTGGGCTGGGATCCTGCAAAGTATGCTGTGGCTGTTGGATCTTTGTGTGCTCTCTCAACAAGGTGATGCAACACATGTTGACCCATAAGGCACTTATTATGCCAAACTCATACTGTTATAGGACTATAAAAAGCAGTGTTACGTGATCAGTAAGATGATAGTAGAGAAGATGCTCATAAACTAAAAAGCATCACACCCGCCACAGACCCTGAGCATACACCCATGACGATCATGGACCCTCAGTCAGAGGCCCATTCTGTCCTGCCATTCAGTTCGTCCTGGAAGCAGTGCCTGCTGCTTAGTTCATCTGAGAGCCAGCACCTACTGCTCGGTTCATCTTGGAGTGCCCAGTGCCCACGTTCGGTTTGTCCTGGAGCCAGCACCTGCCATCCAGAAGCCAGAGCTTATTGACCTGGCCATCCATGATTTAAGTCTGAACCTCTAAAGCCCTTCCTCCTCTACTGGTCCTATTCAGCTTGTTGGACTCTTTGATTCCATCCGGAGCCTTAGACATTTCTTCTCTGTTGGTCCTGTCCAGCTCTACACACTCTCTGGTTCTGTCCAGGTCCCTAGTCTTTTCCCCTCCACTGGTTCCATCCAGCATGATAGTCTCTCTGGTTCTGTCAAGGTTCCTGGCCCTTCCTCCTCAGTTGTTTCTGCCCTGCATCATAGCCTCTCTGGCTATGTCCAGGGCCACTGGTCATGCTCCTCTAACTATGCCATGGTCATCATTGGCTCCTCTGACTACTCCTCACCAGCTCCTCAGTCCTCCGGCTCCATCGCACAATCACAGTCTCCTGATCCACTGTGTTCTTTAGAGTTTGTGGCATCTGAACACTTCCTACCCTTAGGCTCCACCTGGGCCCTTCCAGCTCCACCGTGGCTGTCCGATCCTTTGTCTCCACTGTGGTCCTTCTACTGGGGCCCCTTGTCCTTCCAGCCTTGCAATGGTCTATTGATCCATTTCAGTCCTTCAGCTGTACCTTGGCCCTCCATCCCTTTAGTGTCACAGTGGCCTTTTTTTTGTCTCTGCCATTGATCTCTGTCCCACTGGCTCTACCTTGGAATTCTGATCCCTGGGTACTGCCTTGTTCCTCTAATCTGCCAGCTCAGTGGTCCTCAGTGCCTGTGATCTGGCTCTGCTTTGGTCTTCACCTCCAGCAGCTACTTCTTGAGCATTTGATTCCCAGGCTCTGTTATGCTCGGCGATTCTCCAGTTGTGGTTCAGTCTTCCTTTCATCGGTTTCCCCAGGTTTCTCAGTATGCCCTTATTTGTTTCTGTGATTTCTGATTATGTTTGTCCCCTGTTTCTAGTTAAGTCAGTCAATATCCTGTATATTGTCTCTGCCATTGATCTCTGTCCCACTGGCTCTACCTTGGAATTCTGATCCCTGGGTACTGCCTTGTTCCTCCAATCTGCCAGCTCAGTGGTCCTCAGTGCCTGTGATCTGGCTCTGCTTTGGTCTTCACCTCCAGCAGCTACTTCTTGAGCATTTGATTCCCAGGCTCTGTTATGCTCGGCGATTCTCCAGTTGTGGTTCAGTCTTCCTTTCATCGGTTTCCCCAGGTTTCTCAGTATGCCCTTATTTGTTTCTGTGATTTCTGATTATGTTTGTCCCCTGTTTCTAGTTAAGTCAGTCAATATCCTGTATATTTATACTCCTCTGTCAGTTGTATTTTTTTTCACAACCTGTTTTGTGTGTTTTTCCCTTGGACTACCTTTATTTGACTCAGTTTCCACACCTCAGTTTCTCCTTTGTCTCACTTTCTACAGTGTACATAATTAGTATTTTCCCCCAAAACATTTTTTTTGCCTGTGGGAGTACTGACAATGTGCAATGCACAATAAAATGTTTTATTGTACATTGCACATTTTCAGTACTACCAATTTTCACAATATTCAGAGCAAACAAAAAATATTCAATATATACAAAAAGACAGCAGTGCTTAAAGTACATTACTTACAATAATAGCAGTTGTTCACTAAAATCAACTATTTTTGTCCACACAGGTACCAACCAGAACCAGCTGAGATCAGTGAGAAACCAGAAGTTCAGAAGAAATGGAATCCTTTTTCCCCCCCTAAATATGCATCTGCTTCAAGTTCTAAAGTTGTGTCTGTGCTAACCATCCTTACCAGTGAGTTTCAGTTTTTATCATTTCATGCTTCCATCTGATGAGTAAGTGTATGATTATGTTGAGGAAGTGTAGCTAATGCTTCCGTAAATTGGACATGCTGGCAGTATTTATATTTTTTTGTCTAAGAAAGAAAGCATTGTCTTAGAAAAAAAAACATTTAGGCCTATGCAGAAAATTAGAAATGTTACCATTCTTGCACAATCACAGAGAATGTTGGGAAATGTACTGTAGTTTATTCGCACAAGCCTGTCTTCTCATAAACCAGCTAAATAAATAGTTTCTCCAAAAAAGCATTAGCACTTAAAAGTAGCACACAAAATAAATACAAACTACATATGCTACATTTTAATGATTAATACCAATTTGCTGCAGCCATAATTCTTTGTAAAAATACCTTAGAATTAATGAAAATACCAAGCTTAAAGGGTTAGTTCACTCAAAAATGAAAATTAGCTTGTGTTTTACCCACCCTCGAGGCATCCTAGGTGTATATGCCTTTCTTCTTTCAGACAAATCCAGTCGGAGTTATATAAAAAATTGTCCTGGCTGTTCCAAACTCTATCATTGCAGTCAGTGGGTGTTGCAGTTGAACAGTCCACAAGTCGTCAAATAAAGCGCGCGCATTCATAATAAAATGTGCCTAACACGGCTCAGGGGGGTGAATAATGGCCTCCTGTAGCGAATCCATGTGTTTTTGTAAGAAAAAAATCCATATTTCAAACATAATAAAAAAATTTCTCTCACTTCCGGTATCTGTCAAATGCGGAAGCCGTTCCGGCGGATGACGCAGCACGTCGGCATTGCGTGATTAGTGACGAGCGCGGAGCGAGAACAAAACAAAATGCCGGTCATGAATTGGAAGTACAAACCGAGGATTTGCAAAGAAAAATGTCGGAGGATTTCGATATAAGCCAAGAGGAGACTGGTTTTCCTTTGCAAAAGTAAGGAAACTTTGCTTCCTTTGCTCCTATAAACAAACTCGCGAGACTTGTTGCTATAGCTGCACACGAATCGATGGCTGTTGCTTCAGTCGTTGATTCTGATGAAATGGCACTCCGGGCCGACTTATATAGCAGTTGGCTCCACCCCCTCTGGCGGGCTCAAGCGCCATTGGTTTGTGCAGCTACACAAACGTTACAGTAACAGAGTAAACAGGGGTTTCCCCATACAAGTCATCAAAAGACGACACAATGCTCGTTCCCTTATCTCAGGGACCCGAGGTTGCGTGAGTAACTGGAGCGTTTTCTGGAAATTATGAATGTGTGGTGGCGCTAAACTTGTAAATAAAATCATTTCGACATGAATGCAGCATTAATTTAGTTTGATTTATGGGTATTTCTATATTTTTTGCAATTTTATGCTACAAATGAAAAGCCACTGCAACTCCTGATCATATGAGCAGGTGCGTAGTAAAAAAATAGAAGCAAACTATCATAAATATCAATAATAGCCAATATCATACCAGGACAAGAAAATGAAACCTCCAGAGCAACAATCAAGTTCATTTAACCTGAATTTATGCTATAATGATTTCATGCTAACTCTCTCTTCTCCACTTCATTTTTACTTTTAATGTGATTTCTAGTTGTGTTTGTGGTTATCCTGAGTGTGATCATCACAAAAGGTGTACAAGCTGGTCTGATTGAGGAGTGGTGGATGATTTTGATGATCACTTTGGTTTCGGTGGCGTTTGTCATGACTATCATTATTATTTGGCGACAGCCGCAGAATGGTACCAAAGCTGCATTTATGGTAAGCTGTCATTCACTGGGTGAAAAAAAGCAACAAAATTTTTTTCGCACAAGCCTGTCTTCTCATAAACCAGCTAAATAAATAGTTTCTCCAAAAAAGCATTAGCACTTAAAAGTAGCACACAAAATAAATACAAACTACATATGCTACATTTTAATGATTAATACCAATTTGCTGCAGCCATAATTCTTTGTAAAAATACCTTAGAATTAATGAAAATACCAAGCTTAAAGGGTTAGTTCACTCAAAAATGAAAATTAGCTTGTGTTTTACCCACCCTCGAAGCATCCTAGGTGTATATGACTTTCTTCTTTCAGACGAATCCAGTTGGAGTTATATTAAAACTTGTCTTTGATCTTTCAAGCTGTTTAATGGCACTCAGCGGGTGTTGCAGTTGAACAGTCCACAAGTCGTCAAATAAAGCGCGCGCATTCATAATAAAATGTGCCTAACACGGCTCAGGGGGGTGAATAATGGCCTCCTGTAGCGAATCCATGTGTTTTTGTAAGAAAAAAATCCATATTTCAAACATAATAAAAAAATTTCTCTCACTTCCGGTATCTGTCAAATGCGGAAGCCGTTCCGGCGGATGACGCAGCACGTCGGCATTGCGTGATTAGTGACGAGCGCGGAGCGAGAACAAAACAAAATGCCGGTCATGAATTGGAAGTACAAACCGAGGATTTGCAAAGAAAAATGTCGGAGGATTTCGATATAAGCCAAGAGGAGACTGGTTTTCCTTTGCAAAAGTAAGGAAACTTTGCTTCCTTTGCTCCTATAAACAAACTCGCGAGACTTGTTGCTATAGCTGCACACGAATCGATGGCTGTTGCTTCAGTCGTTGATTCTGATGAAATGGCACTCCGGGCCGACTTATATAGCAGTTGGCTCCACCCCCTCTGGCGGGCTCAAGCGCCATTGGTTTGTGCAGCTACACAAACGTTACAGTAACAGAGTAAACAGGGGTTTCCCCATACAAGTCATCAAAAGACTACACAATGCTCGTTCCCTTATCTCAGGGACCCGAGGTTGCGTGAGTAACTGGAGCGTTTTCTGGAAATTATGAATGTGTGGTGGCGCTAAACTTGTAAATAAAATCATTTCGACATGAATGCAGCATTAATTTAGTTTGATTTATGGGTATTTCTATATTTTTTGCAATTTTATGCTACAAATGAAAAGCCACTGCAAC